CATCCTGCTTATGGAGGGGCATCCCAGGAATGCCTTACCTTAGCTCTTTCGTGTACACTGTCTCTCATGCGACGTAAATTTTGATGAGCCACCTATCCCCGCGGCGTTGGTGGGCGTCGCGTGCGATGTCGCGCCCGCAAATGACGATGCTTCTAGGCCGTAGTTGGCGACAGTTGACAAAGAGTGGCTAAAGATAACCATAAATGTCTGCAACGTCGTAGTCCACATGAAATCAGGTGCTAACTGACAGGCTAATGCAAACTAAAAAAAAACGTCGCGTGCGGCTCAGTGGCTATTTACGATTGTCTTGACCGCCCCCTTTCAGTGTGCATGGTCTGGGATTTCACCTCATTAGTTTAGAAGTAGGATACTGTTCTAAGTCTGTCTGTTGTTATGCTCTAGTGCATTTATGTGTCCTGAAGATCAAAAAACTCTTCAGCCTGCAAAGTCTTACTGTATTTAGGGCTGCCCCAATTCAGATGTGGTTCTACCGTGAATTTTGGGAAGATGGTGTTCGGATCCCAGGCGAAAATTCACCATTTTCTTGTTTGGTCCCCACCAAAGGCTACGTTTGGTAGAATTTGTCCATCGTTCATGTGGCACAAGCTTGACCATTCATGACGTACGATTGATGATGGCGTGTTTGCAGTGCAAATGATGATTCGAGATGTCCACAGCTATAAACGCCTGTGTTTGTTCAAGCGATGCTGTAGCCAGCTGGCAGTTGAAATGCGTTTCGTGTACAGTAGTCTTGGTGCTGAATCGGTCAGACCGCATCAGTGAAGGTATTCGGATCTGATCCAGTCGTGCCTGCCTGCCGCGATCTGGGACTTGGAACAGTTTGGTGCGGTCCGGAAATAACGAACCGTCATGAATAGCTACGGGAAGGAGGAAGAGCAGTATTCCCCTGGAATTTTGAGTGTTTCCTGGAAATGTTTTGAAGATCCGAGAAGAGTCGCATTATGGGTTATGTGGCATTTAGAGAGAATTAGATTGGCTACTGTACAGAGAAATAAGAAGATTTCCCGGATTCAGGATCAGGGAGGATTTCGTGCCAAAATCATGGGATAGAAAGCTTATGTTACACTATGGGATCGATATATAACGATGATAATGACTTGGAAGACGATTTCCCTACCGGATTTGCTTTTCATCCTGATGGCTTAAGCAGCTTGAAAAAGTTCAACGATCAAGTGTAGATCTGGTCAATCTCCTTTCGTAAATAACGTCAGCGGAATTCGTACATGTTCCTTGGAACAATTCTAGTGTACAGGAGTTTCTTCGGATTCTGAAATGTTGGCAGATCTTCGAATTTCATGGCTTTCTTCCTCTTGAGTTTCTGGAGGTTCAAGTTGGAACAACATTACCTACGTATAACAATTATTACGTATACATTACATTACCTACGTATAACATTACCTGTTGCGCTGCTCTCAGAATTGCGCAGAGCGTCGTTTTGAAGTCAGCTTCTCACGACTGATGGTTTGGTCGTAGGAATGCGGGGTCGACCTTTTGAAGACTGCCTGTTGGCATTCGTCGTCAAATAATTTTCCCCAAGAAGTGAAGCCCACTGAGCAAATGGCAAACAGTTGTGACTCCTGCAATCACTTTGGTTGACCAAAGTAACACACAGCTTACAGTAGAAGACAAAGTGTATATTCACTTACAAGAACGGTCGTTTCCATATGAAAGGTGAATGGGTCCGCAGCTGCAGTAGGGTGCCACTTTCTTCGCTCAAACCTGCACAGAAATTGGAATGGAGGGTAGTGGAAGGGTTCATAAAGCCAAAGCTGTACCTTGTATGTCATAATTCGGATTAGAAACGAACTAAGTAACGTGTTTCGGCGAAAAGGATTCACCGGTGAGCTGAAGATCCCCATTTAGCAATGAAAGCAAATCTTCCCCGCGGCTGAAATTTATCCATCGCGGAAGGCTTGTTATGAAGCAATTCGAGTGAATGTAATGTACAGAGATTATCTTACGTAGTCCTGCGCGGCTGAGCCGTGTTAGAATGTTAATGCAGCTTTCCTCCAATCTTTTATGTGATGAGAAACGGACAGGATTCCGGAATGGTGTTCGCGACATCCCCAGTTAACTACTGTACAGATTAGAGATTATTTTAGCTTTAAAAGCGAAAAATTGGAGCAGCTTCATAGATCACATATCCAACACAGGCTCAGAGATGTAGCTTTCAGCTCGAGCAGTGCACAAGGCTGGTGAGAAAGCCACATAGTTCTAGATAAAGCCGCGTTAGTTGAACTCATTGGGGGGGGGGGTGATGGGCACTGTGGATGATTTCAATCGTTGTGACTAGAAATCAGGCAAGCCAACGTGCTTGGGATCAGAAGGCGCTTGGCCGCCAATGTCCAAGACATAGAAAGAAATATAGTGACTTTTCCGTGACAGTGGGAACGGGGGTGAAGAGCCTGAACCAGCTCTCAAGGAAACATCTTCAGAATATTTCACAATGCGCCTTTTCGAAGCAGAGGTGGTGTATTGGTGAGTGGCACGGTCAACACGCCCGCGCTCGAGGATCAAATACCGGCTCGGCTCCTGCCCGGGCCAGCCAAGCCTTCCATCCCCGGGACTGGTAGCTTGTTACAAGGATCGTCTGGGAGGATAAGAACGGTGACTTGTGCATTGGCTGAGCGACGGAGTAATTTTATAGGCCACTGAGATTCTGACTGGAAAAAGCTCAAGAGGGTTTGATCAGTTGCGATGACTCTCCTTTAGGGCTTTTTCCCTGTACATAAACTTAGATGATGCAGGGTAAAAAGTGTATTCCTTTAACTCCCCTTTTACACTAGTTCCGTCCTTTTCAACATCCTACCATCTCCACCTCGATTTCGAACGGAACTCCAGCCTTTGACGCTTTTCTGATTGAAACTATAACTATATTGCTGAGTGAGATCATATCTAACAGGGCAAGAAAAGACATGTAGGAAAAACCCTGCTTTTCGCTAAGTTCAAAAATATATTGCTGAAAATGGCAGCTTTAATGGCTCGAAAATCAGAAGAGGGATACCCTACAGTTGAGTGCATGAAGGCATTTTCTTCTTTTGTGGACGAATTTTCGTATAATTGAATACATTGTGCCCCCCTCCCCCGCCTTGTCTCCCTTTAACTTTTCCTTCACTGTCCAAGAGTTCATCACCTTTCACGGGGTTCGAAGTGTAAGCGTTTGGTCGTTGATCTGACACAGTTGACTTCCGGTGGTCTTCGCCGAGAAAAACTGAAGGGATATTTATGGCTTTAGCGATACGTCCCTTCGACTGTGATAGAATCGAGAGAGATTGAAAGCGATGGTTTTGGTTATGCTGATAGCGGTCGGACCTAGGAGTTCTGATATTGGGTGCAGAAATGATTTATTTCTCTCAGTTCAATAATATATGGGCCTATACTGGTTAAGTTATATTCTTTGGTAGGTGTTAGGATGATTTACCGCGTTCCACATTCAGATTTGATTCCGGTGTGCTGGTAATTTATGATGTGAAGGGAGTGAGTTATGGGCGAATTTTGGTTTTGATGTTGTGCAATTCCGACTTCAGACGTTCCTAGGAAACGCATATGAATGGTCAATCTAGAGTAGGTAGGGAGAGGATCATCTACTGAAAGGGGGGGGGGCACTCTGCTCGCTGAACAAGCCTTAAAAGTTTGAATGACAAGGTGAATGGGTTCTCTGCAAATTTATCAGAAGGATGCCGTGTTATGGGCTAAAGTCAGACCCCAGGCGGGAGTAGAACCCGCATTCGCCTCTGAACGGGCAATTGAGCTATGCATTACACCATCACGGCCGCTTTTGCCCTCTCAGCTCATGGCTTTTGTGCCATGGCCTTACAGCACTCACACGATCATCACCAATTTACTTTGTACCCATCAAATCTTGGTGCCTTAAGAATACCCGAAGCGATGTGTCTGGGAACCGACGGTGTTTGGGGAAGTGGTCGGGATTGCTTTTGTCGAAAGGGACCATCAGAAAAATTTCGCCTCTGGTCTTCCGTCTACCACGATTGCGACGTAAACTTCGATGGGATGTGTCATGAAAAAAAGTGTCTTTTGCACGATAGGGCCACACATAGGATTTGTGACGCGTCTCTTTTGGGCTGACTGCAAGTCGCAATTTCCGGTGGTACGGTTGGACTACGGGGTGCATGGATATTGTAATTAGTTGAAATTTCTCCCTCTGTGTTGGCTCTAGAACCTGATGCTCAGCGCGAAACTGAATCAGCAATAGGGCAAGAACTTGCTGATGTTGTCGAATGGGGAAGATTTTGACTTTTCTCGTGTACTCTAACTAAGCGTGTCCTATAGCTGCTTGTTTAGTGGTTGCGGTCTAAATTTGGTTAGAACTGTCACTATCTTTCCCGTATTTTTGACTTCATGCCGCTCCCCGTTTTAGTGACTGTAGCGCTATTTTCGTCACGAGTTTTAGCAAAATAACAGTCGGTCATATGATAATGACGCGCCTAGCCAGCCATGGTAATGATATCAGTACCGGTTTTTTTTCGGCTGGCTGGCGAAGTTTTGTTGCTACAGCCACAGTAGAAAATGTCAGTTGAGCTGGTGTTTTAGATGTCTGTTTGTGACACATATTTTGCAGAATATAAGGGTAAAAGTTCATGTGTAAGCTAACTTAGTCAGGTCATCGAAATCAACATGTTTTTGTATTGAACTGATAGACTGAACGGAGCAGATGATGGACAGGGTGCGAGTTGTCTGCTCTCAAGCTGTGATCGTTGTAATGACTGGCAGAGGCGGTTGATAGTGGACTTTGCTGCAAGAATTTGGCACTTTCGTTAGAATGCTCTTTAAGATAATGAGTTAAACCCGAGCTGAATCTACGCGACGGTAATCGAGCATGACGTCAGTCGAGCAAGATTGCTACCCACAGGGATACCGGAGTCCCCACTGGGTTCTCAAAATCCTGCTGAAACTCTTGTAGCATTTAGTGCCTGCTGAATAGTTTTAGTATTGCTGAGCTATCGTAAATCGTGCCAAGCATGTGTAATATCGAAAAGTCTCAGGAAACGGACGAGGAAAAACACTACCCGGAATCGCCAACACGAAAGGCACTTCTCATCTTGTGGGCGGAGATAGTGGGCGGACCACAATTTAAATAGTTCTTGCTCCGGCACAAGGCACAACAATAGTTGTTTCAAATATGAATGTCTCACGAAAAACGCCTGAAAACCGGACCCTTGAAATGCCAACGCTAAGTTCGCATTCCAAGCTCACCTGTGGGCGGAAGCATCATTGTCTGGGCGGAGGGAGAGGACCACCCCATGTCAATGTTATCATGTCTTGCATCGGCAGAAGACAGAGTGGCAATTGTCTCAAGTAGAAGTAGCTCGTAAAAAAGCATTAATAATTACGGCCCACCAAAGTGCCAATACAAAGGCTATTCCGCGCTCACCAGTATAGGCGGAAACAGTGAACCATCTCATGGGTGTGCCTGTCGACGCTTTGGCGTAAAAAGCACACTACTGAGGTGGTTCCAGTGTTCTGGTGTCCCATGGGGTGAGCGTGGAAGCTGCCTTCTTACCAGGATTAGGCGGTTCGGATTGTGTACTGCTCGATGTGCACTCCATGTACTAATGATGGGCAGGATGTGGCTGTGTACCTCTCCCAAAGGAGGCAGCGCCTGCACTTTCGGTGGGGTCTTGCCGTTTTGAAATGAATGTAGTCGTCTCTTTGTCTGGCACAAGACAGGAAACGAGGCTATCCAGAGTGGAAATCTTCCATGAAGAACGCATCTGTCATGTTCGAATGACGTACTTGTCTACACCCCCTCCATCTCCGGGATATGAATTGTTTTTAAAAGGCGCGATTTCGAATCTGGTCTGTGTCCCGAGTCTCCACATAACTCCGCGATTTTGTGATGATGCATATCCCGCGTTGACACACTTAATTTGAGAGGAAAATCAAGCGGTTTCAGTTCGCATTCTCTGAAACTTTCTGTGGTTTTCCATGTTTTGGTGAGGTACTGGTACCGATAATTTTGTTTTTTTACAGCTGTCACGAACGCGAATAACACTACCAGCTCGATGTAAAAAATGCCCTCACCTGCAATGTTTCGATTTGTACAACTACCTGCAAATGAACGAGAAACGTCCAACATGGCGATGTCCTGTTTGTAGCGATTGGGCACCGTACAAGCTGCTCATTATTGACGCGTAAGTTGAAAGCTATATATTTTTTTATTTCCTTTAGGTAGTAATTAGCAACATCCCACCGAGATCGCAGCCGCCGCCTCCTTAGGTAGACAGCCACGGCCTCCCTATCACCAGGACATGAAGCGCACATTAAATCTTGAGCAATACACAATCCGAACCACCGAATCCTAGTAAGAAGGCAGCTTCCACGCTTACCTTGTGGGGACACCAGAACACTGGAACTACCTCAGTAGTGCGCCTTTTACACGAAAGCAGGCGACAGGCGCACCCATGGCATGGTTCTCTAATTCCACCCATACCGGTGAGCGCGGAATAGCTTTTATATTGGCTTTTTGATGGGCCGTAATTATTAAAGCTTTTTTACGAGCTACTTCTATTTGGGACAACTGCCTCTGTCTTGTGCCGGTGCAAGACATGATAACACTAATCCCATGGGGTGGTCCTCCGACTCCGCCCAGACAATGATGCATCCGCCCACAGGTGAGCTTAGAATGTGTCTTAGGCGTTGGCATTTTCAAGGGTCCGGTTTTCATGCATTTTTTGGGAGATACTCATATATGAATCAACTGTCACTGTGCCCTGCGTCGGAGCAAGAGTTAAATTTTTTCTATGAGGTGGTCCGTCCACTGTCTCCGCCCACAAGATGAGCGTGGAATGTGTCTTTCGTGTTGGCGATTCCGGGTAGTGTTTTTCCTCGTCCGTTTCCTGAGACTTTTCGATATTACACATGCTTGGCACGATTTACGATAGCTCAGCAATACCTAAAACTATTCAGCAGGCACTAAATGCTACAAGAGTTTCAGCAGGATTTTGAGAAAACTTCGGTATCCCTGGTGGGTAGCGATCTTGCTCGACTGACGTCATGCTCGATTACCGTCGCGTAGATTCAGCTCGGGTTTAACTCATTATCTTAAAGAGCATTCTAACGAAAGTGCCAAATTCTTGCAGCAAAGTCCACTATCAACCGCCTCTGCCAGTCATTACAACGATCACAGCTTGAGAGCAGACAACTCGCACCCTGTCCATCACTG